GCACGGCACAGAACGTGACCATCACCGACATATTGAGTGCCGGGTTGACCTTGGTGAGCTCAAGCGGAAACAACGGCACGGTGACAGGCGCGGCAGTAGGCGGCACAGTCGGCGCGACCACGACCAGCCTGGCGCTGGGCCAGACCTTGACCCTGATCGTCAACGCCACGGTGAGCAACTCCGCCAGCGGCAGCGTGACCAACACGGCAGTGGGCACCAGCACCACGCCAGACCCAAGCCCGACCAACACGGTGACCGTGGTGGTGCCGGTAGTTACTCTTGCGGACGTTAGCGCCAGCTTCGTCGGATTCCCTGTGAGCGCACCGGTCAACACGGTGGTGACGGGCACGGCCAACTTCGTGAACACCAACGCCACGAACACGGCGACGACGGCCGTGTTCACGATCACGCTGGTGCCGGGTCTGACCAATGTGACGGTGACCAGCCCATTGCTGGGCACGGGTGTGTACAACAGCGTGAGCGGTGTGGTGACGTTCACACCGCCGACGGTGGTCAATGTGACGCCAAGCGGCACGGTCAGTGCGGCCATCAGCTTCGTGCAGACCACGACGACGGTCAGCGGCACGGGCACGGGCAACGCCACGAACGACACCAACGGCGCCAACAACACGGCGACCTTCAGCGTGCTGGGCACGGCAGCCGACATGAGCGCCAGCTTCGCCGGCTTCCCTGCGAGTGCGCCAGCCGGCTCCATCGTCAGCGGCACGGTCAGCTACGTCAACACCAGCGCCACCAACACGGCCACGACGCCGACGTTCAGCCTGAACCTGACGCCGGGTCTGGGCGCAGCCAACGTCACGATCACCAGCGCCGTGCTGGGAGCCGGTACCTATAACAACGCCACCGGCTCGGTGACGTTCGCCACGCCTGCGCCAGGCGTGCTGGCAGCAGGCGGCACCGTCACGGTGACCCTGACGTACCTGCAGGGCACGACCACGGTAGCCGGCACGGCCACGACAGGGGCCATCAACGACACCAACGCCGCCAACAACACGGCGACCTTCAGCGTGACCGGCAGCGTCGCCGACCTG